CCCAATAAGTAATATTGTAATTCTAGCTTAAATCCACATTCTACATTTAATTATTACAAAGTTATATAAATATTGTTTATAACTGAACCATGTAGTATATCTATATACATAAAAGCCCAGAGGCTGGAACAGCAGAACAACCAGAACGACGAGTGGCTATGATGCGCACTGAGGCAGCCAACCAGCCTGATCCAGGCCCCAATCGGCCCACCGCCCATAGCCCCTCCCCCCTGCTGGGCCTGGGCCAGCCGGACCGCAACCATACACAATTTCATGCACTGGGCCTCTAGTTTCTTCTTATAAAACTGTGTTTTCCCTTATTGTTAATAGTTGCCTTTTTTTGCTCAGTTTTTAAAAAAACATACTTATCACTAATTCATCATCAAGCTCTCCATCAGAGCTTATAAAACTCCTCTCAATATGGTCAAGCAGATCAGACAATCTATTAGCTTCATTTCCCCTCACCCCCCAGAAACACTGCTCCAGGAATCGCCGAGAAGAGTCTCCTGCTTCAGTCTGATGCTCTCCAGCCTGCTGAAACTTCTCTCCACCAGGTTCTGAGAATTCCCTTTGCTTCTTTTCTAAATTGGATGGATCCTCTTAGGGCAAGTCACCTCTTTTCTGTGTTCATCCTTCCTTCTTGGTTTACTCCTTTGTGTATAGAGCACATCCTCCAGCAGTTTCCTGGTAGTGTGCACATGAGCTAAATTTGAGCCTTTGTATGCCTGGAAATGACTATTTCCTTACACTTGATGAAAATTTTGTTAAGTATATATAAAGATAAAGTGAAAACCATTTTCAACTTCCAGTGTTGCTGAAAAGTTGAAGTTCTTTTGATTTCTAATCATTAATATAAGACCTTTGTAAAGGCTTTCTTTGATCTTTATTTCTAGAGTAGTAAAATTTAGAAAATTATGTATTGACAATGGATCTTTATCCACTAATTTTTCCAAGTACTTGGTAGGCCCTTTCAAATTCATATCCTTCTATTCTGAACAATTTTCTTGTATTATCCCTTTAATAAATTAGCTGTCCATTCTATTTGAGAATGAGGCACCAAAAAGGTGATTAGAAGTCATGTGCAGAGGTGTAGGGCTCATCATTAGAGGATGTTAAGATGCAGACCCAGCTGTTCATCAGAGAACTCCCCAAATGTCCTTACCTACAGGTTTTTTCTCTAAGGCTGGTCAGTTTCTCAGATGAGACCTCCAATATTCTGCATAGGAAATTTAAGTTTGGCTGCCAGAGTGAAAGAGACCTAAAGAGCCTCACTGTTTAATATGTAGACTTTCAGTCAATTCCTTTATTTTCAATACAGTAGTAGCTCAATCTTCCCTAAAATGTGTGCAGATTCTTCAAATCTGGAACCTCTTGGGTGCTACCTAACATCACTTAATGAGCTAGGGTTGGGGTAATCATGTGGCTGAGCAGAAGACCAAGAGGTCTAACTTCTCCATATATGTACTTTCAACACCTTTTACCTTTTGAGGCTCATGGTGCCTTCAAATGCTGAGCCTTTCTGGAGTTCTGAGGGACATGTCAGTATGCTTCATGCCCTATTCCCCTGTGCAGGTACCTGAGTCTCAGCTCAGGCTCCAGCCTCCTTGGCTCTGTTTAGTCAGCTTCCACTCGTCATCCACATTCTCTGCTCCAAAATGTGGATGGCATTGCCTCTTCTGGTCTTTTTTTTCTTGTGAATTATAATTTTTAAAAAGTTCTTTATTATCATTTTAGGGTTTCAGTAAAGATAATGAAGTTCTGTATCAAGCAAAACTAATTTGGTGTCACTGCACTAACCTTCACCATATTCCCAGTTTTGATACCTCAAAATTGAGTAGAAGTAAGTAAGAAAGAGCTTAAAATGTAAGTAAGACATCTTTGAATAGTAAATGTTGTACATGATTTATTACTTAAAAGATACTTTTTGATCTACATTTGACTGAATATAACTGCTCTTTCTCAGTGTTATCAACTCAAATTATTTCTACTGCAACCAATTATTAATCAGACAAATATATGTATTCATACATGTGGGTAGCTTGACTAAATAAATTTCTTCCAAAAGATAACTTTGAAAAAGATACTTCAACCCTGGCCAGTGTGTCTCCGTTGGTTGAACATCGTCCCATGCACCAAGAGGTCACCAATTCGATTTCTAGTCAAGACACATGCCCAGGTTGCAGGCTTGATCCCTGGTGGAGGGTGAGGAGGCAGCTGGTCAATGTTTCTCTTTCTCATCCATGTTTCTCTCTCTCTCTCTCTCTCTCTCTCTCTCTCTCTCTCTCTCTCTCTCTCACTTCCTGTCTCTCTAAAGTCAATAAAAACATATTTTACAAAGAAAGAAGATACTTCATCCTCTTACATGGTGAATATAGTTTAGAAATGTTATTAAGCAATGTTTCATATTCAGTATTTCTACTATTTGTGTTTAGAAAGGCAAATTAATTTGAATTGAGAATTACCATTTATTCTGTGAGATAATGGGCCTGCTTTTATTTAGCCCTTTAAAAAAAACAACGGGATTATGTCTCTTATCTCCCATAATCCTATAAAATAGTATCATTATCTCTTTTACAGATAAAAAAGCCAAAGATAGGTCATTTGCAAAAGGTCATACAGGTAGCAAGTGGCTGAGAAGAAATTCAAGCTTAGATCTGCAAGGACTTTTCACAATAACCAAAATCAATTGTATTTCTGTTAATACTTTTGAATTAAATTAGTAGTAATCATTTCAGGATAAAAATATTTAAGTCACACATCTAATATCTTACTAAACAATTGAATGTAAAATACTTTAGAATTTATTGATATTTATTTTATAAAGATGCTATGAGAATTAACTCCCCAATGATGAATCCCAGGAATCTGCATTTTATATTATTATTTTATTTTTAATATATTTTTATTGATTTCAGAGAAGAAGGGAGAGGGAGAGAGAGATAGAAATATCAATGATGAGAATCATTGATCGGCTGCCTCCTGCTTGCCCCCCACTGCAATCCTGCAACCCAGGCATGTGCCCATATGCCCTTGACCAGAATTGAACCCAGGACCCTTCAGTCTGCAGGATGATGCTCTATCCACTGAGCCAAACCGGCTAGGGCAGGAATCTGAATTTTCAACATTCTTTCCAGGTGATTCTTATGACTCATTAATATTTAAGACCCATCCCTAGGGAAATATGGACCTGACTGAGAATTTCAGAATACTCAGTTTTCATCTCTACCCCTTGACATTATTCTAGATACTTTATCACTGTGATAATCCACAATACCTACATTTTAGCTTCACTTTTAAATGTTTTTAAATCCTCACCCAAGGATATGTTTTTTGATTTTAGAGAAAGAGGGAAAGAGGGAGAGACGGAGACAGGGGGAGAGGGGAAGAGGAGGATAGAGGGAGAGAAGGGAGAGAGGGAGAGATGGAGGGAGGAAGGAAGGGAGAAATGTGAGACAGAAACATCTATTGGTTGTCTCCCATACCCACCCCGACAGGGGATGGAACCAACAACCTAGGTATGTGCCTGACTGGAAATTGAACTCACAACCTTTAGGTGCAGAGACAACACTCCAACCAACTGAGTCACCTGGCCAGGGCTTAATTTCACTTTTTTTTTACCTCTTATATGCCAGTGACCAGCACTTCCTGCCAGCAATCCATTCTTCCTACTGCTACACTCTAGAACAGCCATGGGCAAACTACGGCCCGCAGACCGGAAATGAATAAAACTAAAAAAGAAAAAAAAAAAGACCGGAGTGTTTGTGTGAACTAATATAAATTCAAAGTAAACATCATTACATAAAAGGGTACGGTCTTTTTTTTTTTTTTAGTTTTATTCATTTCAAAGGGGCCGGATCCGGCCCGCGGCCGTAGTTTGCCCACGGCTGCTCTAGAATCTACATCCAGAACTACTCAATCTACCAATCATCTTAACATCAAAAGTATACTCTGGCCCTAAACGGTTTGGCTCAGTGGATAAAGCGTCGGCCTGGGGACTGAAGGGTCCCGGGTTCGATTCCGGTCAAGGGCATGTACCTTGGTTGCAGGCACATCCCCAGTGGGGAGTGTGCAGGAGGCAGCTGAATCGATGTTTCTCTCTCATCGATGTTTCTAACTCTCTATCCCTCTCCCTTCCTCTCTGTAAAAAATCAATAAAATATATTTTTAAAAAACGTATACTCTGACAAGCCTGTCCTCATCCGCTCCCACCAAATCTGCTCTTCAACCTCAACAAAACTCCAATCTCATGGCTTCTGTTTTCTTTCATCTATCAACCCTCCTCTACTTCCTGCTCTGCCCAGATGACAATCTCAGGCACCCTCACCAGCTACTGTGGATCTCCCCATGGACTTCAGAGGACCCATTCTGCACCTTCCAACTCTTCCCACAATGTCACTGTACAAGTTGGCATGCCACAGTTAGTTCAGCAGGCTACTACCCTTAGACCTCTCTTCCCTTTCCTGTTCAGGTCAGCCTAGTGATAATAATCCCTACAATAACTTTCACTTACAGAGCACTTATTGCATTTGATAACATTTACCTCATTTAATCCCCACAACAACTCTGTGAGGCGGACATTATTATCCTCACTGCTATAAACTGGACATACTGAAGCTAAAACAGATGAAATAATTTGTTCTGGTAATTACTCTGGTAATAAAAAAGGAGAAAAGGTGGGGGGGGGGGAGCAGCTCAAGCATTCGCCACCTGGGGAAAACAAAGTCAAGGCAACAATTTCTTAGAAAGCTTTGCCCCACTACTCTGCACCCCTCCATTTTTCACTCTATCCTGTTTGTAGAATTCATCTTCATAAAATGGCAACAGATAATGAATGGTACCAAAAAATATACATATCCTGTTTTGGAAAGCTTATTAATAAGATTTATGTTTGAAACGTTTTTGATTTTTTTTTATCAGTCCAAACTTATAAAGAATAGCATGTAAAGTACTGTGAAAAACTGAGATTGAAAATTAATATTGTGGCCATTTTTAAAACTCACCTCTTATTTTTCTTGTAATTTTCCAGTTGTTGGGACTGCGTGTGTTTGCATCTTTCTAATTCACACTGTGCACATAAATCCTCCAGATTCAGCAGGTGGTTTTCTACTTCCTCAAAACTAGTTTCTAAATGCACTGAAAATATATAAGATCAAAAGAACAAACATTAAAAATCAGAATCCTCAGTTATGGAGAAAAGTATCCAAAAAGTTAAAAGTTTAAACTGTTGCCATTGTTTTGCATTTACTTAATATTCCTTATTAAACTTTCTTGGAGCAAAATAAAATACACTGACCAACATTAAAACATACTTCAAATTATCTTTTTTGAGTATATTTTTATATTTCAAATATTTTTAAGATATTTTAAGTGTTATTTCCATAACACTCTATTAACCAGGATGATGAGGAAATAGTATCTTGATTAATCTAAAATTATATCGTAATGATCCTACATACTACACATGAATAATCAATTTCAAATAATGAGAACACAGCAAAATATAACTAACACAAATTATACTGAACATAATGCAATATTTGAGATTTCATTACTTTAGTATTTGTTTTGCCCCATCATATCATATAGTAAGTCTTCAGGGAACTGTAAGAGAAGTACAAATACTCAGTAAACATACTCAGTGTTGGTGGGAAGACACTCAGCTCTGTCCACCAGTCACTTAGTCTTTTGCTACTCTAATTTGCCTTTAGGCCACAGAGCTTTGCAGCTTTATTGGAACATGGATATCATCTAGTCAAATCCTTCACTTAAAAGATTCAAGACCACCCTAGCAGGTTTGGCTCGGTGGATAGAGCATCGGCCTGCAGACTGAAGGGTCTCAGGTTTGATTCCGGTCAAGGGCACATACCTGGGTTGCGGGCTCGATCCCCAGTGCGGGGCGTGCAGGAGGCAGCCAATCAATGATTCTCTCTCATCACTGATGTTTCTATCTCTCCCTCCCTCTCCCTTCCTCTCTGAAATCAATAAAAATATATTTTAAAAAAAGATTCAAGATCAAAGCCTACAGCAGTGATGGCGAACCTATGACACGCGTATCAGAGGTGACACGCGAACTCATTTTTTTGGTTGATTTTTCTTTGTTAAATGGCATTTAAATATATAAAATAAATATCAAAAATATAAGTCTTTGTTTTACTATGGTTGCAAATATCAAAAAATTTCTATATGTGACACGGCACCAGAGTTAAGTTAGGGTTTTTCAAAATGCTGACACGCCGAGCTCAAAACGTTCGCCATCACTGGCCTACAGAAATTAATTCAGCACGTTGCCCAAGGTCACCTAGCTAGTGAAGGGCAGTCAGGAATCAGAACTGAATCCCTCATACAATACACTACAATGATTTATAATTGATAGGGTGCTAAATAAACTAAAACTTCACAGTTACAGGGGTGAGGACTGGATTTCTTAAACAGAAAAGTTTTAGAGGTCAATGATTTTAGAACTCAAACAGCATCATGGCAATTTACCTTGAGCACAAGGACTGTCTTTTCATCTTTGTATTCCAGTGTCCTTGTACTCAAAGAACTTAAAATAGAGAGTAGGCATATTTCAATGACGACACAGCCACAAAGACCTAGGTATAAGGTGCTGTGGGAATCAAGGAGGGGCATCTAACACAGATGAGAGAGAAGGTGGGAGAGGCTCAACACAAGATCTGACTCCCACATTGGGAAGTCACAGCCTTCCAGTGGGGCAAGGGGCAGCAGGAAAGAAGCTGGCTGTGCAGTTTTCCAGTCTGTTTCACTGGGTAGATGCAATACAATTACAATGTGTCAAATTCCTTCATTTACCCATTGGATTTTCATATGCCTTTCTAAATTGTTTTCTAATCCTCACCTGAGGATATGTTTTTATTAATGAAAGAGAGAGAGAGAGAGACATCCATCAGTTGCCTCCTGTAAGCACCCCAACAGGGGATGGAACCTGCAACCTAGGCATGTGCCCCTTCCAGGAATTGAACCCATAACCTTTTGATGACACTCAAACCAACTGAGCCACCTGGCTAGGGCTCATATGACTCTCTTTTCCTTTTTTTTTAATAAGTTTTTTTTTTTGGTGTGTGTGTGTGTGTGTGTGTGTACTGATTTGAGAGAGAGAGGAAAGGATGGGAATAGAAAGATAGAAACATCTATGAGAAAGAAACATCCATTGGCTGCCTCCAAATGCCCCTTACTGAGGATCAAACCAGCAACCCGGGCATGTTTCCCGACCAGGAATCAAACTGGTGACCTTTTGGTTGATGGGTCAATGCTCAATCACTGAACCACACCAGCTGAGCTCATATGACTTTCTAAAATAGCTTTTGTAGCATCTAGGTTACCAGCAAATTCCTCAAATTTTAACTTTCGACTTTAGGTTTGATGACATGCAAATTCTGACCTGTTTTTAATTAATCTTTGTTTGATCCAAAGATTTATTAAATCCACATTCACATTTGCTAATATCCTAAATTTTAACTCTACTAAATCTCTATGCTTATAAAACTTCCTCTTACATTTGGTAGGATCTAGGGCTTAAAGATATTGATTGGGGAGAGGCATAAAATTTCACTGAAAAGCAAAATATGATGACAAGTAGTTTAGCATTCCTCTTCAAAGACATTAGATACTGACTTTGATCATATTAATGTATCACTATAAACCACTGGCAAGTCTGGAAAAGTCTGATAACAATGCAGTTCATAACAGTTTTGAAACTATCTTCAGGGGTTACATAAAACAGCTAAAATATTCGATTACAGCAAGGCTAACCTGAAACAATTTGCAAAATCTAAATTTTAATCTATCAAAAATGTAACTAAGATTTTTAATAATGTCATATGTAGTATATAATAAGTTTATTGGGGGAAACAAGCAAAATGATGCAATTATACTAGATGCTATTTAGATTTTTTGTGTCTATGTTAAATGTTAAAAAGACTGGGAGACTCAGCCTGGGAGGTGGTACTACTGGCACTGGGGAAGCAATATTCAGCCCATTCTGTGAAAACTGGTTTGACAGGTTTAAAAGATCCTAGATAATAGGTTATCTAAAAGGCTATTTCACTTTGCTTAGTGACAACAACTGGAATAATTAAATTTATTATGGAATCCATTTAACTCCAAGCTATGCAGTGCCTTCGTGTTATCCTTAGTACCATGCAGGTTGTCCTCAGCACAAAGGGGACTGGTTAAGAGTAGGGTTTGAATCACAAGCTTGGAAACCCAGCTCTGCCCTCTACAGATGAGGTGAGGTGAGGAGAGGGGAGGGAAGGGGGAGATGAGGTGAGGGGAGGGGAGGTGAGGTGAGATGCCTCATCACTGAAAAGAGAGCTAACAATACACATCTTGCTAAGTTTTCAAAAGGGTTCAGCAAGGGAAAGTATGTAAAGTAGCTAATTTAGCATTTGGCAGTAATTAAATAATTAATGGCCGACTATAAAAAATGCAGAGAAATTTTTTTATAAAGATTAAATAAGTTTTGTAAAAGTCATTTAAAACTAATAATTTTGAGACCAGTAATGATCATGTTGTAAATGACACCTATGCATCTAACACTCCAAAATATCAGTAAAATTTTCATTTTTTCTGACAAACTTATGTACTTGTAAATTACTCAAGGCTTTGTTCTGATACCTAAGACCCCTTATTCTTATAAGTGAGAGGGATTATATTCCAAATTATTTTTCTAAAAAGAAAATATATAATGGAGTCAATTATATTTGAAAACGTATACATTCTTTCCACCATTTTTTTTTTTTGGACAGATGGCAATTTCCATTTAAAGTCTAGCTCTGTTGGTTGATTACAGAGCTAATGAGGCCAGGAATAAGTTAATCCTTTGGCGGGTCAATTAACTTCTCATGTTCTAGGTACAAATTGAACTTGCTGGCCTAATTCACTTCTGTTAATAAAATGTGAACCAGGTGAAAACATATGAATAGTTTAGTACCAACTACTAACAAGAAAGAAAGAAACAAACCACATGTCCTGAATAGGCCAACAGCATCATGTTCTTGTGTCAAAGAGCAAATTTAGATTTAAAATGCTTGGGACAGTCAGCCCTAGCTGGTGTGCTCAGTGGTTAGAGCATAATCTGGTGCACCGAAGGGTCGCAGGTTTGATTTCCAGTCAGGGCACATACCCAGATTGCAGATGTATCCCTGGTTGGGGGAGGTAGGGGGCGTATGGGAGGCAACCAATACATATTTCTCTTTCTTTCTCTTTCTCTTCTCCCCCCACCATCTCCCACTCTCAGCCCCACCCAACTTCCTCTCTCTCTAGAATTAATGAAAGAAACAATCTCAGGTGAGGATTTAAAAAAAATGCTGGGGATAGTCAGTGGTCATTTTATTGCTACCACCAAATTCATATTTATGTTCTCCCCTTTAAAAAGTTTCAAAGGCGGAGAACCAAGATGGTAGTGTAGGTAATGCTGGAACTTGCTGCCTCCCACAACCACATCAAAATTACAACTAAAATACATCACTCAGAACTGCCTGAAATCTAACTGAATGGAAGTCCTACAACTAAATAAGTAAAGAAGAAAGCACACTGAGACTGGTAGGATGGGTGGAGGCATGGAATGGGCTGGTCCAACACCCATGTGTGGCATTTCTTTAATTGAGAGAGAGATCCTGGCTGTAGGAGATCCCAGCCTCACACCAGACTCCCAGCCTAGGATTCCAGAATTGGGAAGAGAAGTCCCATAACTGCAGGCTGTAAAAACCAGCTGGGACACAGAGGCTGCTAGAGTCCCAGGTGTTCCTCTTAAAGGCTCCACACACAAACTTACATGGTCCTGCTTTCTCTGAGCTCCAGCACCGCTGGGTAGCAGCTTTGGGGGAATCCAGGGATATATGGGGAGGAATTGGATTGTCTGGCACTAGGGCAGGAACTCAGGGGCAGCTTTCTCCCAGACAGGGGTGCTCGCAGTGGTCGTTGTTCCTGTGCTGGGACCTCCCCAGTCATAGAGATCACTGGCAGCCATATCTGAGTTTCCATCAGCATGGCCCACACTGCTCATTCTGCCCTGGTGATTCCCTGAGACCCCGCCCCATTAGCTGCAGCCCCACACAAATTGTTTGCAGCTGCTTTTCCATATGAATGGCCTGTCTTGGCTCAGGCTTCAGACT